TCTCTTCCTTCCTTATTTGTGGCTGCCCACACCGAGCTGTGAGTTGGGACAGGAGTTCTGCTTCCATTTCCAGGTGCTGCTCTCCTGAGTTGCCACAGATCCTACAAATCCCGTCCTACTCATGGAATTGGGAGATATAAATACCTGCTCCCAGCAGAGGTAGGCAGAAGGAATTATTTTATGAATTCCATGGCTGATAAATCACATCCAGAGGGAATAATGGCATCGTTTCCTGCTGTTTCTCTTGGGGAAAAGTGTTGTGTGACATTCCTGGAGGGACAGGACAAGGGGGTATAGATTCACATGGACAAAGCACAGGGTTTAGATGGGATATTGGGAAGGAATTTTTCCCTGTGAGGGTGGTGAGGGGCTGGGATGAAATTCCCAGAGAAGCTGTGGCTGCCCCATCCCTGGGAGTGCCCAAGGCCAGGTTGGAGCACCCTGGGATAGCGGAAAGTTGGGAATGGCACTGGATGAGCTTTAAAATGCCTTCCAACCCAAATCATTCCATGACTCCATGAAGTTTCCCCACTCACTCATTTTGTCCAGCACATTCCTGTGGAAATTCCCTTGGGAGGGAGAAATTTCCTTCTCCTGCTGGATTTCACACCGGAGTTATTGTCAGCAGGTCCTATTTTCATGTCACCTTTTGACATTCCCTGGAAAGACAACAATTTTTTGTGGAAGGAGGAAACACCACCAAGACAGCTGCCTTGTGGACAGGACCTGAAAGAAAAAGGAGTTGTATTCCTGCTGTTTCTACTCCCTTTTTTTTTTTTTTTACCTCTGGGAGAAATTGATTTTCTCTGGAAGAAATTAAAAATACGGATGTGTTTTCTTTGGGGTATTTTTCCTGTGGTGCTGCCATCCAAGAACTGAGCTGAGAAGAGCTGTCAGGATAATGCCATCCCAGTTTTTAGGCAGGGAGAGGGAGCACAGATGGGCTGGGATGTGGCTGACAAACCCATCAGAGGAGAAGCCCCACGGGAAACCCGGCAGGGTTTTATTCCCAGTGTTGCTCAAACTCCCTGTTTTATTTTATTTTGGAAAACAGACTCCAAAGAAGAAAAAGGACAGAGTGCAGATGAAGGAGATCAATCCTGGCACTGAGTTTGAGTATGGAGATGTCAACATCCAGATGACTTCCTATGACATGTGCCTGGTGGAGCACTTTGCCCAGTATGTCCACAGGCTCTGCAACAGGCTCTCCATCAAGGTCAATGAGAGGTAAGGGACACCTTGGAGACCAGGGCACCATCCAGTCCTTCTGATTCCCATGTGGATGTAAATCCAAACCTCTCCTCCGCCCCCTGTTCTGTTTCTGTGTATCCCTACAGTTTTGTATATTTATTCAAATGAGGAAGGTTATAATGGGCTTGTTCCAGCAAGGAAAAAATATCTGGCTCCATCTCATTCCTCTGAGGAAAAAAGGGCTTTAAGCCTCTGGGTTTAATGTTATTGTTTAAGGCTTTAAACCTGGCTTAAGTATTGCTGACATTTCCTGCTGGTTTTCCTTCCTGGTGTTTGATCCAGGCTCTGTGCAGTGAGTGATGCTGGTTATCCAAACTAGAATGAACTTGGGAAAGCCCCTGAAGTGCTGGATGAGCTTCCTGCTGCTTCACTTTGGGAGCAGAGGATGCTTTAGGTAAACACCAGATCCCAAACAGGATTATCCCAACGGCAGCTTGGGATTTAATGCCTGAGGGATGTGAGGAAGCACCTCAGTGCTGAAGTGCTCCCAAGGAGCTGCAGGCACTGGGAGAAGCCCTGAGTTGCCATGAGGGAATGAAAACAGTGGTAGATTCTCCAAAACGTGGATTTTCAATTCCGCCCTCTGTGGTTGGACCTGGTTCAGTGTGTCCAGAAAGGAAGGATTTGCCCTTGGAGTGAGAATTTTAGTGGAAAAGGTGGGCAGAAGGATGTAATTGGTGCTGTGGAAATGGGGATAGGGATGCTGAGGTCTCTGGAATCCTGCTGGGAGCAGGGTCTGCTCTACTGCCCAGTCATATTCCTGTTAAATTTGAGGGGAGAACAATGTCTTTGGAGTGGCACTTTGCAGCAGCAGTTTTTAGCTCTGTCCCTGATGACAAAATAAGTCACAACTGTTGCTTTCCTTCAACTACAAAGAATGTAAAATGTCTCAGGCTGGTGTTTGGAGCCAGTCCAGCTTTTTCCTGGCAGCAGGTGCTCCAAGCTTCTCCTTCATCCCCGTCCCATAAAACCCTGGCCTCTGCCAGTGCTTCCTTTGCAGGACACACTGTTTGCAGAATTAATTCCTCATGGAAAGTTCATCTCCTTGGATGGTTGATCCATCCCTGTAGAGCACTGGGAATGTCCTTAGGACAGGGAATGTCCTGCCTGTCCTAAGCTCTGCCCTCTGGCTCCCCTAGCTATGCCATGCCCACCAAAACCAACGAGGTGCTGTTCCTGGAAGAGAAAGGATCCAAGATGCAGCTGGATGCAGTCCTTACCACCCACCAGAGAGTTGTCCAGGTAGGAACTGCTCTTTCCTGATATTCCTGTGGTTGTCCTGCAGCACAGGCTCTCCAAACCCCTCCACAGTTGGAGCTGAAAGGTGTAATTTGGGCATAAAGCCTTCATTTGATCTCTTACTGAAAGTTCCCTCCAAAGTGGAAGCAGGAAGAGGTTTCCCGGTTTTATGTAATTTCAGGCACCACATTTATTACCTATTTTCTGCAGAATGCTCCATACAAGAGATAGAAAAGCCATGTTTAAGGATGGATGATTGGAAAAATTCCATGAAATTTAAAAATACTGTTAGGAACAGCTTCAAAAGACCCCAGAGCCCCTTGCAGGGCCTAAAGGGGCTCCAGGAGAGCTGGAGAGGGACTGGGGAAAAGGGATGGAGGGACAGGACAAGGGGGAATGGATTCATGTGGACACAGCACAGCGTTAGATGGGATATTGGGAAGGAATTCTTGGCTGTGAGGGTGGAGAGGCCCTGGCCCAGGTTGCCCAGAGAAGCTGTGGCTGCCCTAACCCTGGGAGTGTCCAAGGCCAGGTTGGAGCAACCTGGGATAGTGGGAGGTGTCCCTGCCCGTGGCAGGGGTGGAATGGGATGATGTTTAATGTCCCTTCCAACCCAAACTGTCCTGGGATGGTTGTCCTGGAGCTGTGTCATTCCTTCCCTCAGATCAGTGGTTTGAGTTCCACGTTTGCTCCAATACTCCTGGAGGTTATCCAGAGTAACCAGCCCGAGGGGGTCCATCTCCTCATCAAACAGGTATGTTTGCATTTCCCAGTGCCTTTCCTTTCAGGAAGCAGAGATGATCCATGTCAGGAATTTCCTTTGAGGATCTGGACCTGGCCCTGAGGCTGCTCCTGCTCTGGGCTTAGAGTATCCAAGATCTCCCAGAGCCAGGCCCTCCCTTCTCCATGAAAACCCACTGCTTCCAATTCCTGAGGAGTGCTTCCTTCCCCATTTAGCCTCCTCTAATTGGTGCCACTTCCCAGCCAGTCCCACAGATCCACAGGAGATGGCAGGTTGCAGGTTCCTTTCCTTTGCTGCCACACATTCCTTGTGAGTCCAAAGGGCATGTTTCACTCCAGCATTGCTCCACCACTTGTCCTGGAATTCCCAGAAGCTTCATGGAGCAGTTGGGAGCAAAGCTGAGACAGGAAACCCAAACACTGTGCCCTGTTTTGATGGAATTCGCTCTGGAGTGGGGGGTTAAACTTGGGTTTTGTGACAAGCCCAACAGTTTTCCAGCACTGAGTGACTTCCCACTCCCAGGGCATTTCAGCCTTTAGTTTTTCCTGTTAATCCTGATTTCCTTGGCTGGTTTTCCCTCCCTCCACAGCACACAGAAGCCGACTTCAAGAGCAGATTGAAGGCTCGGCCAGAGCTGGAAGAGCTGCTGGCACAGATTGGCTGAGGGAGGAAAACTGCTCCATCCAGGGGCTGCTCCAGCCTCCAGAGGGGGATTCCGTGAGCACTGTGCTGAGAACTCGGTGAATTGGAAGGAATTCCCACTGTTGGTTGTCTCAATAAAGATGAATAATGTGTTTATACCTGACTGGTTTGTACTGGGAGCAGTGGAATCCACACAATGGAATATGGCTTTACATTCCTTCAGTTCTTTCTTATTCTTTTATTCTTGTCTGTTCTGCTTTTGACAGATGGGAATTTCTGCAGAAATCCCTGCAGGTGAATAATGCTGTGCTGCAACAATCCCAGGAATTCTGTTCTAAGCAGATTTGGTGGATTCCAAGAGAAAACTATTCCAAACTGGTTTGTTTGGAAGTTTTTTCCCCCACTTTTTAAGGACCTTCCACTAAACACAGGGAAAGTAACTCATTAACACTCTCCCCCAAACTTGGGCTGTCCAGGTGTTGCTTGTGCTCCTGATCCTGCTGTAATTTTGGGGAACCCAGCACCCACCTTTCTGGGAAACAGCCTGGGAAGTTCCTTCTGGCAAAAGCCAGGGATGTGCTTCCCTTTCCAGCCTCCAAAAGGCAATTTTGCTTTGTTTCTCTTGCCTTATTTGCCAGGAAGTGGTAGACAGAGGAGGATCCTTTTTTCCCCCACTCCTAATTATCCTGGGGCTTCCCTGGAGATAAATCCCATCCTCAAAATCCCATTTGGTGGGACACGAGGTTATTGGTGGTGGGAAAAGCTTTGGGAAGGACGTGAAGTGGAAATCCATGGCAGGGCTGTTGTGGAACCAGGGACATTTTGGGCTGGAAATGGAAATCCACAACCATGGAATCATGAAGGTTGGAAAAGCCCTCTGGGATCACTGAGTCCACCCTGTGGCCAGTCCCCACCTTGTCCCCAGCCCAAAGCACTGAGTGCCACATCCAGTCTTTCCTTAAAAACTTTCAGGGATGGGGACTCCACCACCTCCCTGGGCAGCCCCTTCCAATGCCTGATCACCCTTTCCATGAAAAAATTCCTCCTGATGTCCAGCCTGGTGCAGATTGAGGCCACATCCTCCAAACCCCTCTGACCTTCCCACTTTGCTGCGGGCACTGATGAAGACGATTAAATTCCCAGATTTAATTTCCCACGTGGATTTCCCGGCACTTGGATAAAAAAAAAAAAAAAATCACACAATAAAAGGGGGGTGAAAGGCACAGCTCCCCCATTCCTGGGGGTCCCGGGTGGTGTCACTGTGCAGGGTGTGCCTGGCTCTGTCCCTGTTCCCGCTGTTCCCGCCGGGCCATGCAGGCTCCGAATGCCCGGAGCTGTGTCTGGCAGTGCCGCCAATCCCGGTGCTGTTCCATGCACTCCTGCAGCTCCCGGTGCTGCTCCAGGCAGCCTGTCCGGGCGATCCTGGCATCCAGGGGGTCTTCGCCCTCCTCATCCTCCTCCTTCCCCGCCGATGCACGGCTCCAGGAGTGTCTCGGCTTCGCCATGGGAGAACTGGGAAGGAGGGACAGGGTAGGGGTGCTATTTGGGGGCCATCCTGTGCTCTGTGCACCCGCCAGGAGGGGCTCAGCCCCCCTATGGACACCCAGGACCCCCAGAAATGGGCGCTCAGTGCTCTCCCCATCACACCTCAACCCCAGCCATGGGTGCCCAGCACTCCCACCCCTCACACTCCGAGGGGTGCCAACCCCCCCCATTGGTACCCAGAACCCCCCAAATGGGTGTTCAGCACCCCTACAGACCCCCAGGACCCCCAAAACGGACGCTCAGCATCCTCCCCCCCTCCGACCCGTGCGTCCTCAGCATCCTCCCTGACCCCCGCCTACCCACCCACCCCTTACACCCCCAGGGGTGCCCACCCCGCCATGAGTGCCCAGCACCCCCCATACGTGTGTACCCCCACCCGTGGCTGCTCAGCAGCCCCAAAATGGGTGCTCGGCACCTCCTCCACCCACCTCACCCCCACCCACGGGTGCCCGGCACCTCCTCCGACCCCTCACTCTCCCACGGGTGCCCACCCCCCCATAGGTGCGTACCCCTCCAGAGGTGCTCGGCACCTCCTCCCTCGCACCGTACCCGCACCCGCGGGGGTGCCGCCTCAGCCCGGCCCGCGCGGCCGGAGGCGGAAGGGGCGGTATCCCCGCGGCAGGGAAGGTGTCCCCGAGGAAGGGGCGGTGTCCCCGCGGACGGGGCGGTGTCCCCGAGGAAGGGGCGGTGTCCCCGCGGCGATGGCGGCCCTCCGGATCCAGAGCGACTGGAGCCGCGCGCTCAGGTGCCAGCGGGGCTTGGCCCTGGGCCTGTCCCTGTTCCTGGCCTTGTCCCTGCCCCGGCTTCTGTCCCTGCCCCTGTCCCGCTCCCTGTTCGCGGCCCCTGTTCCCTGTCCCGGCTCACTGCCTGTTCCCTGCCCCGGCTCTTGTCCCTGTTCCTTACCCCTGCCCCGGTCCCTGTTCCCATTCCCTGTCCCTATTCCCTGCCCTGGTCCCAGCCCCGGCCCCTGTCCTTATCCCTGTTCCCTGTTCTTGTTCCCTGGTCCCTGTTCCTGCCCCTGTTCCCTGTCCCTTTCCCTATCCCTGTCCCGCTCACGGCCGCTCCTTCTCTCCGCAGCAGGGACGAGGGTGAGGCCTGGCTGAGCTGCCGCTGCCCCGGTGAGTGGCCGGGGGGTCCCCCGGGGGTCAGGGGGGATCAGGGGGGCCCTGGAGGTGACGGGGGGATTGGGGGGCCCTGTGGTGCAGAAAGGGGTGGGGGCAGTTGGGGGGGTCGCTGTGGTTTTAAAGAGGGGGTGAAGATTACTAGGATCCCTGGGGGTTAGGAGGGGCTGGGGGAATTTTGGGTCTCTGTGGGCTGGGGGAGGTGGGAGCATTTGGGGACCCGCCGGGTGAGGAGGGGATGTGGCTGCTTGGGGGGGGTGTCTCTGTGGTTTAAGGGGAGGTGGGGTCCTGTCATTAATGGGGTCGTTTTGGGGTCCCCGTGGGTTAGGAGGGGAAGGGGACTAGGGGGGGATCCCTCTGAATTAGGAAGGATTAGTGGTGTTTGGGGTCCACGTGGGGTCTGTGTGGGGTAGGAGGGGTTGGAGTTGTTTGGGGTCCCTGTGGCTTAGGAAGGGTTGGGGGTATTTGGGGTCCCTGTGGCTTAGGAAGGGTTGGGGGTATTTGGGGTCCATGTGGATTGGGAGGGGCTGGAGGAGTTTTGGGGTCCCTGTGGTTTGGGAGGGGCTGGGGGAGTTTGGGTCCCTGTAGGTCAGGGAGGGTGGGCTGAGGGTCTCTGTGCCGTGGAGGTCTCTGTGCTGTGGGGTCTCAGGGCTGCCCCTTTTCCCCCAGGGAAGCCCACCCTGTATGGGAGCGTCACCCGCCGCGGGCTCAGCTCCGAGGGCATCCCGGACATCGCAGCCTCTGAGGGATTCCTGGTTCAGGAAGTCACCAAGGTGCCAGGGCTGGGGGGGGAAGGTGTGTGACACAAAGGGGGGACACTGACAGCCCAAAGCTGCCACCCTGCAGCATCCTGTCCAGCTATCCTAACCTCCCACCGGGCACAGCCCTGGAGCTGCTCCAGGACATCCCACAGGGTTTCCAGGCTCTGGGATCCCCCAGCTGGCTCCAGGTCACAGCTCTTCCTCAGCAGGACCAACAGCACCTCTAATCCCTTTTTTTCCCCCTCTGTTTCCTTCCTTAGAAAAGCATCCTCATTTCTTGTCCTCACGAAAATGCGTCCACAAAGTTCCTGGCCCCGTACACAACTTTTTCTAGGATTCATCAGAAAAGTGTGAGTATCCTGTGAGGTGGGAGGGGAGTCCCTGGAGCTGACTGGGAACTCTTCACAACACATCCCTGACCGTGGTGTCCTCGTGCTGGGGGGGACTGGAGCATGGATTGGTGTGTGCGGGGTTGGAATGGACGTGGAACTGTGATCTTGTCGTGTTTTAGGAAGGGTATTCCCCAATTTAGTGTTCCCAATGGATGGAGAGGGGAATTGGAGGCACAAAAGATCAGAGATTTAGATAAGAACAATGAACAATTTACTGGGAACAGCAGTGGAATAAGGAAACTAACAGAAACAAAAATACCAAATAACAGTGTACAGGCCAGGGAACAATCCACATGGGAACGCTCACAGTGTGTCACCCGAATATCCCTGGGATCTCTGTAAAATTGAACCCTGTCCTGGGCGAAACCAGGACATTCCCACCCCTTATTGTAACCCATCTGCATCGTGCCCAGATCCTACCCTCCCAGCTACATCTACACACACAAACATGGGTCTCATTCCCATTTTTTCACTGGATTTCTGAGCCTTATGAAACCAATCCAGTCCATTCTTTGAGACCTCGCTCTCTTCCAACACTTTTCTTCGGGAGCTCTTCTAAAGCTCTCCTGTAATCAAAAGTCTGACTTTGAATTTGCTGGAGCTGTTCCATCCAGGAAGCTCAGGGATGTCTTCAGCAAGGATAGCAGGGCTGCGGCAGATGGGGCAGATGCCGCAAAGCTGCGAGACTGCTGTTCTGATGCATTCCCTGTGGAATTCATGCCCACATTCCAGTTCACACCTGTCTTTGCCTAGCATCTCATGGCATACTCTGCAGGAATAATAATCACGATCCTTGAACCAAAGAAAGAACTTAACCCCTGCGAGGCGAGAGAGCTCTTCATCGTACTGGCAGAGACGGGCGGCCAGTCTGTTCACCGTGAGCCGTGCGCTCCATCCGATGGTTGTGAATGCCTTGGAGTAAGGCCATGGAGCGCCTTCTCGGAGCCTGTGCCACGTGTAGAACGTACAGAAAGCTTTCCCCGGATCCAGGGGGAACTCTTCCCTCACAGTCCCCTCGTAGAGCACCTGCAGCACAGCCAATTCCCTCAGGTACTGAACACCTTCCTCCAGGTACTTCCACCTGTGCCTGGGCACAAACAGATCGTTCTTGGCAGGACACCATTCCTTCACACTGGACAGGAGCCTCTTCCAGAGGCTGAGGGGTTCTTCCGTCTTCCCAATTCCCTTGTCAATGTCCACTTTCCAGGCCAGGCATCCCAGCTGCCTGGCTTCTCTGCCATCCAGTGTTATATCCTGTGCCCTGAAGGCCCAGCACCGTGCCAGCCAGGCCAGCACCGACTCGTTCAGCTGGCGCCGGAAATACTTCCGGATATGGCGCAGCCTATCCAGGCATGGGCACTGCAGGCTCAGCGCTGCCCCTGTCTCCTCCTCTTCTGAGGACCCCGTTTCCTCTTCATCCCTCACCAGGGGAACTGATTTGCTCTTGGATTTCTTCAGGACAGGGACAACTGCTTCTGTCAGGGGTTCAGCTGCAGTTTGAGTGGCCACTGATTTGCTCTTGGATTTCTTCTGTAGAGCTGCAGTTTGAGTGGCCACACTGATAGTTGTTCTCTCTTGCCCCCAGGGGAGCTGCCTGGCATCCAGCAGTGCCCGGTAAGCACTGGCCAGGGCCCAGCACAGGGCAACAAGTCGCTCCTCTCTGCAATTGTCACGGCATTTTTCTTTCAGGTATTCTGCCATTTTATCAGGGTCCTGTAGTTGTTCAGGGGTGAACTTCCAAGGCACGGAAGGAAAATAGTCCTCCAAAAGCTGGCCGATTTTCTCCCACCTTCCCTGCCACTCCTGATTACACACCCTGGGGACAAGTGCCGGGAAGGCCCTGCTAAAAAATCCTCTTATCTCTCTAAACACGGTGCGGACCACGCCTCTAAGCATGTTGTAGACTGTGCCGAGGAAACTTGGCAGACACAGCAAAACGAGGATGCTTTGCATAACACTGAAAGGCAGTTCAAAAGCTCTTGTGTACGTCCTGAAGGAGTAACAGCGGTGGAAAAGCTGGAGAAAATAGTCCTTCCCTGTTCTCCCCGTGGACTGGACAGGTTTATTTATGGACTGGCGGACGCAGAGTGTCACGTCACAAATTACTATCGCAACGAACAGCACCAAAACAGCGATGAGTCCTTTCTTTGCCCTGGGATAGTACTTCAGGAGGGGCTCAAGCGGGTGTTTATAATAAGGGCTAAAGAGCATAACGCACAGGTACAGGTGCAGCCACCCTGTATCCATTGCCAGTTCCTAATACGGCCAATGCTGGGATCCAAATCGTCCCTGACCCGCTGCGGGCAGATCTGTTCTATCCCAACCCTTCCTGCCCCCGAATTAGGCTGGGGTGGCTTAGGAATGGAATTCCCGAATTCCAGCCGGTGGCTGGAGTGGGGAATTGGAGGCCCAAAAGGCAAAGGACGGGGGCTGAGATAAGAACAACTCACTGGGAACAGCAATGGATGGAACGAGGAGCGAACACGCGGGATGCGGCCGGGAAGGAGGAAACGCGTTTTCCCGCGTTTCCTGTTTGTCCTGCCCGCGCATGGGGGGACGGGATCGCATTCCATCCTGGCCTTGCCCCTCCTACCGCCGGAAAAGTTAACCCTGTCATGACTGGAACCTTCCCTTCAATGGTGATCCGCATTTCTGGTTCCCGCCTGGGATTTCACGCTGCAGCGCAATTAAAAAAACCGCAGTACAAATGCAATTACTGGAATCACAGAATCCTTAAGGTTGGAAAAGACCTCCGGGATCATCGAGTCCACCCTGTGCTGGATGCTCACCTTGTCCCCCAGCCCAGAGCACTGAGTGCCACATCCAGGCCTTCCTTGGACACCTCCTGGGACGAGGACTCCACCACCTCCCTGGGCAGCCCCTTCCAGTGCCTGACCACCCTTTCCAGCAAGAAATTCCTCCTGATGTCCAACCTGACCCTCCCCTGGCACAGCTGGAGGCTGTTCCCTCTCCTCCTGTCCCTTGTTCCCTGGGAGCAGCGCTCGACCCTCCCCCAGCTCCCCCCTCCTGTCAGGGGGTTGCAGAGCCAGAAGGTCCCCCCTGAGCCTCCTTTTCTCCAGGCTGAGCCCCCCCAGCTCCCTCAGCTTCTCTTGCTGCTGCAGCCCCTTCCCCAGCTCCGTTCCCTTCTCTGGACACGCTCCAGCCCCTCAATGTCCAAGCCTCTGAGGTCCTTGTTTCAATATTTGGTATCATCACCTAGAACTGTACAATGATGTACTTAGCATGTCTCCCCCAGTACAGAATTAGTCTACTGAGCAGAAATATCTCTATAAAGTTAATTTTTGGTGCTTTTCCCCTCCTGCAGATCACCTGCCT